GCCGAACCCTGAAAACCTGGGCTTAAGTTTTTATGAGCCCTGGCCCAGAGCTAGACGGGACAAAGCCTGGTCACTCGTTCCACCTCTGTAAGTGTCCTCACCTGTGAAGTGGGAAGGTGGGACTACATATGCATGACCACAAGGCCAGGTAAGGTACTTCATCTCCTGCAAAGAGGTTCAAAAGGCAGCTGCCCTGGTGACTGGATGAGAGGGGGCCGGAGAGAGGCTTCTGTCACTCCTGTTCCCTCTGGACGCAAGAAGGCCTGTCCCTCATTCCCTGAGGAGTGGGACACAGGCTGCCATGGCCCCCTGGCATCCTAGGGAGTCTGAGGGTGAGGGAGGTGCGGGGCTGGGGGCGCCATTCTCATGCCCCATTCTGGGCCACCCTGAGTTTACTTGTGAGGGATTCCCCAGGAGACCATGGCACCTTCCCTGGTGGCTCAGACAGTAAAGACTCCACCTGCAATGTAGGAGACCTGGGTTTGATCCCTGGGTCGGGAAGGTTCCCCTGGAAAAGGGAATGGCAACCCACTTCAGGACTCTTGCCTGGAGAATCCCATGGAAAGAGGAGCCTCTCAGGTTACAGTCCATGGGGTCGAAGAGAGTCGGACAAGCCTGAGGGACTAACACTCTCACTTATGAAGAGGCACCTCAGAAGGCCCTGAGGGCTCTGCCCTGCTGATCCAGGCCTCTGCCTGGCCAGAGTGCCATTCCTCCAGCACTGAGGGGCTTTACACTTCTCTGGGAGAGAGGAAATCTTGCAAGCACAGCAGATGCCCTGTGGGCAGGCACAGCCTGTGAGCCAGAACGTTCAGTCAGGGACGGCCGAGGCCCACGGGCTCGGGCCCCTCCCCTCCCCCACCCAGCAACACCAGGCTTTCCCTTGAACCCCTCCCACCTGGCCCGGAGCAGCCCCGCACATGGACCGGGCCCAGCTGTACACACATGGCCTTCACATGAGGTGGTGGGGAGGGCCCCACGCAGCTGGGCTGGTGGCATGTGGCCTGACCATCTGCCCTGCATACCCACCCCCCACCCTCCTGCCAGGGGGCCTCTCTCTCCCCCACCTGCACTTCTATGGCCAGGCAGCCTCCTACCCCGTTCCTTCCCTGGTTGAGAATATGGCGGGTTGGACAAAACAGGAGACTGGCGAGCTTCCCTGTGCTGGGGGTGGACAGCTCTAGGGCGATCACCAGGCTGGAGGAGTCTGAGCCTTGGAGCGACTCACTGACTGATTTGAATCCAGATTCTGCAATGAGAGCGGCATATGCACCCTGGAGTCTAGTGAATGGCAAGTCAGGGAGATGTGCAGTGCAAAACCCATGAGGCCTGGTGCGGCAGCCAAAGGCTGGGAGACCGCCACCAATTTACAGAAGCTCTTTGAACCTCAGTCTCACCATCTGTGAAATGGGGGTGGGGCGGGGGTGGGGATGGGACAACACCTATTTCATTAAATGAACTAATACACATAGCACACTTAGCCCAGGACCCAGTACAAAGGATAGCAAGGACATCAAACCAGTCAAGCCTAAAGGAAATCAACCTTAAGTGTTCATTGGAAGGACTGATGCTGAAGCTGAAGCTCTAATATTTTGGCCACCTGATGGCAAAGAGCCATCGGAAAAGACCCTGATGCTGGGAAAGATTGAGGGCAGGAGGAGAAGGGAGTGACAGAGGATGAGATGGTTGGATAGAATCACCGACTCAACAGACATGAGTTTGAGCAAACTCCCAGAGATAGCAAAGGACAGGGAAGCCTGGCATGCTACAGTTCATGGGGTCACAAGGAGTTGGACATGACTGAGTGACTGAACCCAGTTGCTTTGATTGCTGCCACAGATAGATGGCAGTTTCTATGATTGTTAAGAAAATGATTATAGCATTCTTATTTCTACATCTGCTAAGTCCTGTGCCCAGCATTGAGGACACTGTGGATGTTCAAGAAAGGTTCATTCCTCCTACGGCCTCCCTTCCTTTCTTCACTCGATGTTTGCAAAGAAGCTGTGTATGAGGTAAGCTTTATCACCATTTCCCAGTTTCATTAGCTGAGGCTCAGAGAGAAAGTGACTTGTCCAAGGTCACACAGGAGGCATACAGCAGAGACAGGACTCAAATGCCGGCCTCCAGACTCCCTGCTCATACTCACTGTTCCAGGAAGTTGCTCAGGGAAACGGAACTCCAGACCAGAGTCACAGTCCCACCACGGACCTCAGCGCTGCAAGGGCCAAGGTCTCATTTCAGGCAGAACCAGACTCTCACCTTTCGCTTCTTTCGCAGGGACCCATTTCCGATAGTCAAGCCTGAGCCTAGATCCAAGGGCTTCCCTGGTAGCTCAGTTGGTAAAGAATCTGCCTGCAGTGCAGGAGACCTGGCTTCGATCCCTAGGTCGGGAAAATTCCCTGGAGAAGGAAATGGCAACCCACTCTAGTATTCTTACCTGGAAAAATCCTATGGACAGAGGAACCTGGAGGGGTACTGCCCATGGGGTCACAACAGTCAGACACGACTTAGTGACTAAACCACCACCACCAAGCCTAAATCCAGAGCCACAGCCTGTCTGGACAGGGGCACGCACATGGGTGTGTGTGTGTGTGTGTGTGTGTGTGTGTATACACATGCACACCTTCTACAGGAGAGAAACTGAGGTCCAGAGGAGGAAGGAGTGCCTCCAGGACACAGGACTTTCCCCATCAGACAGGGGCTGTGTGATGTGGACGTGGTGAGTGTGGCCTCCTGGGCCCTGGGCTCTGGGGACCAGAAGTGCCCTAGTGATTTCTTTTGCTCCCAGATAACAGACAGGTGCCTACCAGCAGCCTTTCTGGGGGAAGGACAGATGCTTCGGGCCAGGAGGGCAACAAACAAGAGTGGATGTCTCTGTCCAAGCACTTGGTGTGTGCCTAAGAGCACGGGTACTGATTGTGTGTGTACACACCGCTGTGTGTACCTGTGTGTGTGCACGCACTCTCTCCCTGAATTTGTCCATTTTCTATAGAACTTTCCCACCAGAAGGGCAGAAGTGAAAGAAAAGCAGGATTAACAATCCTGTCTCAGAGAGTCAGGCTTGTCTCTGCCCTTCTTCCAACTACAAATGACACTGCAAGTCCGGCTGGGGGGCCCATGACACTGGTACAGCCAACACTGTGAGAAGCATTTGGCCGGGCAGGCATTCTAGAAATTTCTATCATCTTTTCTAACCCACTAGGTGATTTGGGAAGAGTCCCCTTCCTTCTTTCTCTGGGCCCCAGTTTTACATTCCATTAAGTGGAAAGTTAATCCAACTGACAGGGATGTTAAGATCAGGTAAGATAGAATTTATTACTAAAAGAAGTTAAAGCCACTGGACAAATGAGATGCAGTTGAGTACACAAGACTATGAATATTTTCTCAGCATTGAAAGAGGCAGCTGGAGGAGTAAAAAGAACCCGGAGCTGGCAGTCAGAGGGCCTGGGTGCCAGCCCCGTCCTGCTGCTCACCAGCTGTGATGCTCTGGGCACCTGACCTCCCCAGTCTGAGGGGGTTTTAATAGCTTCAAGGTGAGCAGGTGGACAGCCATCTCTCTGTCATCTCAGCCTTCCATCCTGAGGGGCAGGTAGCAGACTGCTATCTGAAGGTGCGACTGAATTCTCACTGCCCAGGGTCCCAACTGTCTGTGACAGCTATCTGACCCCTCCACTCCACTCCACTTCACTGACCAATCAGCTCACCCATTCCCAAGTGAGACACTTTGGCTCAAAAGTCATAGAGCCTCTTTTCCCAGGAGTTCAATTTCTCTCCCAGGGATGAATACAGGCACTGCCTGACCCACTCACAGGAGGAAGCAGAGAGAGTGTGATCCAAAAATATCATATTTTCTGAAATCCTTTGTTACTGGCTAAAGCCCAGAGAGGGTGAGTAACTTTCCTGAAGTCACACAGGAAGTCCGCGGCAGAGCAAGCAGAAATCCTGACCATTCAAACAAATCACACCCACCTACCCCCTCAACCTTCCCCATGCCCTGTGTGAGGTGGAGGCAGAGGGCACTTACCACTCACTTCTTAGATCTCTCTTTGCTCTATGAAAATGAACAGCCTAGAACTCCTGGGCAGTCTCAATCTTGTCTAAGTGGAATTGTAAAACTGCCACTCCCCACTACAGGGAATTCTTGGGCAAATATTCCTCCCCATCCCCCCAAGAAGACAGTGTCTGGTGAGGACAGCTGCCACCTGCTCTAAACTAAGAAGCCCCTAACCCACTCCAGAACTAGTTTCTGAAGATCCCCTATCAACCAGTTCCCCGCTCAGCCGACCTGCCTCTTCCATGTGCGCTGAAGATCAGCAGTAAAGGGGACTCTCCAGGAAAGACTCTCTCCAGCCAATTCCCAGGGAAGGGTTATAGCCAGCGTCCTTAAGGACACCGAGGTGGGGCGGGGGCGGGGGGAGGTGTTGCAGGGTGTGTAGGCAACCTGAGGGCGGGGACAACCCTGCCGGGAGGCGGGGACTAAAAAGGGGTCGACAGGCTCCCCCAGAAGGCGGAACATTTATATTTTGGCAAAACCAGGACCACCCCTCAGCAGCACTCCCGGTCTGCCAGAAAAAGGGTCTTCGCCCTTACCCACCGGAGACAGATTCCCACATTTCCCCTTTCCAATCCTCACGGCGCCCAAGGGCCTCCGGGAGACAAATATTCGCTGCCATAAAAGTGAACTATGAGGGCTGAAGTCAGACTCGCAGACAGGGTCACCCCAAAGGGGATGGAAGTGGCAGTAAAGAAGGCCAGAGATCTCGAACCTTCATCCCCACTTTGCAAACTAAGACCCACACCAAAATGTGGCAAAGGTCTCTGCGCCGGGCGGTCCCATACCTGTCTCGGCGCTGGGACCGACCGGGCGGGAATTACTTGCCCTTTAATCCACACCCTCACCCTCCTTAAAAGTCCCACCACCTCGCCCGCCCCGCCACTTGCCCACCCACTCCCGCAGCCATCCCCACGCGCAGTGAGGATGTGTGACTGGGAGCCGGTACCTGCTTCCTGAGCGCCTCGAAGGCTGCGCTGATGGTGTGCACCCGCGTCCGCTCCCTGGCGTTCGCCAGGAGCCTCCGGGTCTGCTGCAGGGCTTTGATCTCCGAGGAGGCGGCGGTAGCTTCGCCCGGCCGTTTCCTAGGCGACGCGGAGGAATCCGGGTGGTTATTGTAAATTACGTGTGAAATTGACGAGTAAGAACTTTCCCCAGGGCGCGTGGGGGGCGCGGGGCGCACCGGGGGCTCTGGGGGCGCCGACGGCGTGGGGCGTGCTGGCGGTGCGCACAGCAAGATGCGGGGACGCAGGCCCGGCTCCCGGAAAGGCTGTGTCTCGGGACCCCCAGGTACCTGGCCCTGGGGCGCAGGAGGCGGCGGCGGCGGAGGCGGCGTGGGGAGTCCCGGCCCCACTGCGCCCAGGGCGAAGCCGCGTTTCCGCGCGTCCAAGACCTCCGGCGCCCGGGCGCCCCCGCGCTCCCCGGCCGTGTCCGCGCCCCCACCTGAGGGAACGGCCGGCGCCACCCGGGCTGGCACCGGGGTCGGGACTGGCTGCAGCCGCTGGGTTCTGTCCCGCAGCCCGTTGGTGGCGGTGGCGCCGCGCTCGGGCGCTTCCAAGTCCAATCGGAAAGTTTTATAGCCGTTCGCGCGCCGCGCCGGCTCCTTGCCTTTCCTCTTGAGCTTCTTGAGGCCGTTCAGCTCCTTCACGCACACGGTCTTCCAGGGCCCGTCCTGGAGAACCGGGATGTGCTTCATGGCGCGGGTAGCGCGCGAGGCAGGGGCGTGGGGCTGCCCGGGAAGCGCGCCCGCCTGCCCCGGCGGCCGCCGCGCTCAGCGCCTCGGAGTCGCCAGCTCTCCCCCTGCTCGCTCGCTCCCTCCCTCCCTCCTCCCTTTCTCCCCCTCGCCCCGGGGCAGCTGCGCCGCCGGGCTGTCCGTTCCCGGAGCGCTCAGAGTGTCATCTGAAGTCGCTGCCGCCGTGCCAGCGTTTCTGGAGAACGCCCGCTGCGCTCCATCTGTGTTTGTTTAGCCTCAGTTTACACAGAAGCCCGGTTCCCCAGATCAGTCAGCGCCGCCGCCTCCCCAGCCCGGGCCGCCCGAGCCGCGAGCGCCTTTAAAGAAACAGGAAGCATTTTTCAAAACAGCTGGGCTGCCGGCCGCCTCCTTTGTCCGCGTCCTCTCTGCCTCCCCCCACCCCCAGCCCTTCTGCCCAGAACCTGCCTCCTCCGACTCTCCCTCCCCGCCCCCTCCTCGAGTCCCGGGCGCTTCTCTTTTCCCGCAGGACAGTCTGCTCCCGAGCACATGGCTTCTGGGCCCTTGGGCCCTTCCCCAAATCGGAGCTAGGCCTTCTTCTCTCGGTGACCTTCCGCACCCAGCACCTCCACGTCCAGCCCTCCCCCCAACCCTACCCCAGCTTGCCAGGCGAGAAAGAAACTGTATGGCGACTTCTTCTGGAAGAGGGTGAGGTCGTGGCGGAGGGGGGGTGGGTGCTGAGAGGAGGAGGAAGGCTCTGGGGTTGCCCAAGATCCTCAGGCCCCCCTGCACCGCAGTCCCATTCGCTGGGTCACTCGCTGGAGCAAAGGGGAACCAGAAGCAGAAAGCCTAAGCGACAGGGAAACTGAGGCTCCAAAAAGGAATGGGCTTTTCCCACGGTCACGCAGCGAGTTTAAAGAGGCCGATCAGGGGGGAAGCTTCGGATTTCGACGCAGCATCTGTGAGAGTCTGAAGTCATCTCACCCCAGGCTGCCCGTTAAGCCCGGATTTACTCATCTATGAAATGAGAAATTCGGAGAACATCAACGCCTAAATCACAGCATGGCTGTGAGAAATTAAGCCCCAGGCACATGGGAGGGACCAGTCCGATGGAAGCTTTGGTTATTATTACTATTAATAACAGAGGCAGAATAGTTCCTAGAGGCAGATTTCCTGGCTGGCTCTGCCACTGACAAACTGAGGAACACTGGGCAAGTCACTGAACCTCCCTGTGCTTCCCTTTCCTCATCTGTAAAATGGAAGTAACAGTTGTGTCTCCAGGACTGTTGTGAAAGTTAACTGACCCTGTATGTACAAAGCGTTCAGAGCAGCCTGGTGCAAAGTGAGAGCTTTGCAGGTGCCTGCCATTATTGGCAGGGGACAGAGATTGACTTCCCAGATCCTTGGTCCTCAGGGCCATTCTACTGGAGATTCTGGGCAGGGGAGTGGGAAGTCAAACTAGTTGGCCCTCACTAAGCCCTCCCCACCCCACCCCCACTCCCCCACCCCAGAGGCTGCCCCAAGGACCTGCGCATACTCCTCAAAGGCCCTTTCTCTATAGCAGTTTCTCCTTAAGGTGGTGATGGGTGCTTTAAGTAGTTTGGGAAAAGATCGACCTTGGCCTGGGGCTCTGACCTCTGCAGCCACTCGAATCCTTATCTTTCTGGTTTCAGTCCTTCACTCCCACCTCCTACACCGACCAAACTCAGTGGGGGTTTTCTTCAGGGTTCATCTGGAGTGCCTTCTCTCTCTCTCTCTCTCTAAGGGTGTGAGGAGGTAGATGACTCCGTGGCCTGTGTCATGCAGTGTCCTGGAAGGTAGGAGAGGGGTCCAAGCAGAAAGTTCAGGGTCAGGAGCACAGATTGTGCTTGGCTTTTTCAACTCTCAAGGCCTGTGACCCTGGACAAGACAGTTCATCCCACTGGAGTTCTGAATCTGTCCTTGAGGGTGACATTTCTATGCAGCCAACCTCTCAAGGTGGTTGGGGAAATAAAAAGAGATCACAGACTTAAGAGGACTTTGACATCAGACTTTGACATCAAACATACCCTCATGACTGCATACACACAGGAACACACACTCATGGAAGCATGCAATTTTTTGACTATGGCTGGCTAAAACACAGTACATATGTGCTTAGTCGTGTCTGACTCTTTGCCACCCCATGGACTGTAGCCTGCCAGGCTCCTCTGTCCATGGAATTCTCCAGGCAGGAATATCGGAGTGGGTTGCCATTTCCTCCTCAAGGACATCTTCCCAGGGATCGAACCCCAGGGATCGAACCCCTTGTCTCTTATGTCTCCTGCATTGGCAGGTGGGTTCTTTACCACTAGTGCCACCTGGGAATAGTAAATGCAAAACCTCATTTTTTTCCCACAGGGAATTGGTCCCAGCATGACAAAGCGATTGCTTCCTGAGGCACCCGCTTCCCTGGACACCCAGCATCTTCCCATACCTTACCTCTCTCCTGAAGACCAAGGGTAAGCCCCAGAGAGGAGCCCCCATTCTCCTGCTTTTCCCCCACCAGCCCCAGACCCGTTGAAGAGAACATTCTTCTTGCTCTTGGATGACTGGCTTCAGTCTCCTCTCTCTGTAAACCTTGGCTGGTCATCACAGCACCCTGTCACTCTTACTGGCCTCGGCTCACTCCCAAGAATTGCTGCAGCTTGTCTTCCACTGAGGTCCTGTCTGAACCCCTAGGTTTGTGAGGTCCTGAAACACCACTGTTTCTGGGACTTCTCTGATGGTCCAGTGGTTAGGACCCTGTGCTTTCACTGCAGGGGGCCTGAGTTCCATCCCTGGTCAGGGAACTAAGATCCAAAAGCTGCTCTTTCCTTCCCCCCTGTCTTCCAGGAAACCTTTGCTGAAGCCCTCACTCCAGTTTTCTTGTCTGGATAACCCCATGGACAGAGGAGCCTGGAGGGCTACAGTCCATGGGGTTGCAAAGAGTCGGACCTGACTGAGCGACTCACACTGCCTTTCACTGTCATGCCGTTTACATTTGCCAGCTCCCAGAGTCTGAAACCCCAGCTAACCCACTCCTCACACATCTAGCCAGTCAGTGGCAGAGATGGGGGGAAAGCCAAGTCCTCCTCCCCAGAACTGCCGAGTTCCTCTCTGAACCTCAGTTTCCTCCTCTGTAAAATGGGGATCATAATATTGTCTCCCAGAACTGGCATGAGGTTTGAGTGAGACTGCATGTACAACAGTGAGCTGGAGTGACAGTGGCCTCAGGCCTCTGGGTTGGTGCAGCTGCCCAGACTCCTTGCATCGCAGCATCTGCCTCCCGTCTTGGAGTGCACTTGCAGGCCGGAGGTGTCCATAGCTAGTTGGAGCATGTGGAAGTCTTGTAGCAGGACTGAAAACTGTCCCTAAAGAGGCCAGCATGGGCTCCAGGAAAATCACCTGTCTTTGTTGAGTATCAAAGGCTCCACTCATACTGATCCTGAGCCTGTCACCAACTCTCTCAAAACAGGGGAGAAGGTCACTGTTCCCCATGGGAACAGGGGAGGAGAAGGGAGTGGATTGGAGTGGTCAGCTGCTCTGGGCGGAGGTGGAACAGGACTCAAACCCAGCAGGTCTTCCAGGACACGCTCCTTCCCCCCTGCCATGCTGCCTCTCCCGTGGGCCCAGGGGTTGGCATCAGGCTAACATAGGAGGAATCTGCTTTGCCACTTACCAGCTGTGTGGCCTTGAGCAGCCCCTTCACCTCTCTGAACTGTTGTTTGTTATCTGGGCATTACTTCCTTAGTCATAAGATGGAATGCCATGTACCAGAACTGGAGGGCCCAAGTGATGTGAAGGGTCCCTGTTATTGTGATTCTCAGCCCTATAAGTGGCAGACCTCCAAAGTCCAGGCTAACTGCCCAAGGTCCCCCAGCTTAAGGGCAAACCTGCCACCCAGGGCTCACTTCCCTTAGTCTCCTGGAAAAGTGGAGGGAGACCAGCCTGCTAGTGCCCTCTGGTGGTGTGATACAGTCTGGACTACACACAGCACAGCCAACTCCCCACAAGAATTTAGAGCGCAGGACTAAAGTGAAGTCACTCCATCATATCCAACTCTTTGTGACCCCATGGTTCCTCCGCCATGGGATTTTCCAGGCAAGAATACTGGAGTGGGTTGCCATTTCCTTCTCCAAGAGATCTTCCCGACCCAGGGATTGAACCCTAGTCTCCTGCATTGTACGCAGACACTTTACCGTCTGAGCCACCAGGACTGGTAACCCTGAAATGAGAGGAAGATAGATTTTGTGAATTCATAGAAACGCCAGTGTAAAAAGGCTTTCAGGGCTCCAAGTGGTCTCACACCCTGCTTGGAATGGGGCAAGACACACACCCCTAGAAAACCTATGTGCGCGCATGCTCAATCTCTCAGTGGTGTCTGACTCTTTGCGAACCCATAGACTGTAGCCTGCCAAGCTCCTCTGTCCATGGAATTTTCCAGGCAAGAATACTGGAGTGGGTTGTCATTTCCTCCTCCAGGGGATCTTCCCGACCAAGGGATCAAACCCATGTCTCTTCCATCTCCTGCATTAGCACTCAGAGTGTTTACCTCTGAGCCACCTGGGAAGTCCTACATTAAAAACAACCACTGGGAGGTTCCACATCCTCTGTATGGCTGATCCAGGGAATAGGAATGAAGCTATAAAGGGACATGAAGGCAAGAGCTTAGGGCTTGGGTCACTGGGAACAAATTGTCAAAAGCCAGGCAGTAATGCCACTGCACTGGGAGTGAAAATAGGCTCTATTTCTATATAGGCTTAATTTCCTTATAACAACCCAGGGAAGTAAACCCATTGTACAGATAAGGAAACTGAGGTTCCTAGACCAAAAAGAAAAAAAAGAAAAAAACCAATGGAAAAAAATAACAGAAGTGAGATTTGAACCCTGGCCAACTGACCCCAAAACTCAAGCTTTGAACCACTGTGTTTTGTGGCCTCCTGAGACCTCAGTGACCAGCATCTGAACAGGCGAGTCACTGGGCCACCTACAGGGCTGGCCTCTCTGGCTGGCCACACTGGCCTCCCTGCATGTGCCACCAGGCTGGGTGAGCTTCTTGTTGTCCTCTTCTCAAGGGAATCCTCTGGCCTCCCTTGGACCAGCTCAGTGATCCTCCAGGTCAGGGGCATATGTCAGGGATACTTCCTCTGGACATTTGATGATCTCAGGCATATGGATCCCAGACCTTATCCAGGCACTGGTATCTCCTGGCATTGCTGGGTGGAACCTACCCAGCAGTTCTTAGTACATACACACCACCCATGGGTGAGGACAGGATAACTCTGCCAGGTGGCACCCCATGATTGCCGTCTCCTTGGCCAAATGAGATGGGTCCTTGGATCCTTGCTACGTGGAATGC